CACACACACACAGATTTATTTCAGGAAATTGGCTATGAGATTGTTGGGGCTGGAAACTCTAAAATGTATAGGGCAAGCTAGCCTCTTACAAATCTCAGAAGGAAGCTGTCTTGAGGAAGAATTTCTTCTTTCTCAGGGAAACCTCAGTTTTGCTTTTAAGGACTTGCAACTGATGTGATGAGGCTCATGTATTAAACATGATCTTCTTAAAATCAGGTTTTTAAAAAATATATTTCATTTATTTATTTATTTGAGAGAGAGAGAGAGAGAGAGAAAGCTCAACAGTGGGGAGGGTCAGAGGGAGAAGCAGACTCCCCACTGAGCAGGGACCCCCAATGTGGGACTCAACATGGGACTCCAGGATCATGACCTAAGCTGAAGGCAGACATTTAACCAACTGAACCACCCAGGCATCTGAAATTAATTTAGTTTAGATGCTAACCACATCTACAAAGTATCCTCAGAACAATGCCTAGATTATTATTTGACCGAATACCTAGGCTTTATAGATTAGACTTGTTGACATAAAGAACCCTCTCTCACAGTCTATCCCTGGCGAACTTGGCAACCACAAAAATTTCCTTAAGTGAGACTTAATCGCCAAATAAAGGCAATAAAAGATATAATTCTACCTAACCTGATACAAGTATTCTACCTGCAACCCCAAATATGCTTACTCTTTTGCCAGAAAAGAAAAGATGCAAAGTCCTTCAGTGATGTTAACTGTGGTTCTTGATATTTTGATATATTCATAACAAAATGAGGAAAGAAGAGACTCATAATAATCATAGTTCTTATTTCTGAAAATAATCATGGGTCATCATTACTATTTATAACTATCTTCTTTCAATATCCAATCCACATGACTTTTGCCCTCACAAGGCACCTCAGGTGTCATGATTATTTTTTTGTGGGGTGATCCAAAACTTTATTCCTTAATGGTCTGGGCTGTAAGTAGCTCCACTTCAATTTGTTTGTTACAGTTTTCCACTGAATTTAATAATTTCCTTTGAAGTTAATAACAGGGTAGATCTTCTATATATCTAACAAATATGCATATATACACATATGTAAATGTATACATTATATATAACATATATAATATAATGTAAACAGAGTGTATACATTATTGTCTAGAGTAAGGAAGACAATATGGTGGTGGTACAGGGGTAGACATGAGACTGATGGAATTTAAGACAGTTTAAAAATTATCCCACACAAATACAACCAACGGGTTTTTTGGCAATGCTTAAAACCATTCAACTGAAAAATACATGTTTCAAAAAATGATGTTGAAAAATTATACATGCAAAACCAAACACATATGCATGCACACACAGAGGAATTGAAACTCTACATAAATGTCAACCCTTATATAGAAATTAACACAAAATTGATATAGTGAGAGATGGAAGTGGTGGTGATATTAGTGAAATGAGGTTGTCTGTGTTTTGATTGTTTCAGGGTTAAGTATATTTTTCTCTCCACCTTCTATATGTTTGAAATTTTACATGATTTAAAAGAAAACAAAAGAGTCACACTTGGGATCTTTCATCCTTAAGAAACATAAATTATTTGTCTATTTGAACATTTAACATGCTTCTTTTATAATTCACAATTCCCTGGGGCGCCTGGGTGGCTCAGTGGTTAAGCATTTACCTCCAGCTCAGGTCCTGATCCTAGGAGGCTCAGGTCATGATCACAGGATCCTGAGATAGAGCCCTGCATGGGCTCTGAGCTTGCTTCTGCCTCTCCCACTCCCCCTGCTTGTGTTCCCTCTCTCACTCTGTCTCTCTTTGCCAAATAAATAAATAAAATATTTTTTAAAAAAATAATAATAATTCACAATTCCCTGAAATCCTGGTTGTAATTTTTTCCACAAATACTTCTGACTTTAAAAATTCTTCCACTTATGATCTATCTTTAATTTCTCCACATCAGTACTTTATGTATAAATAACAAATTAGGGACAATTATAAAGGTCAGGAGAGCACCTGTAAACTGTAAAGAGCAAGAGAACACCTGTGAATCCATGGTCCAATAAAGATATTTATTAAAAACTCCAAAGAATACCTAACTAGTTAAAAACATTTGATTATTTACTAGAGATAGTTAAAAAAAAAATAGTATGAGAGATCAAATGTTTGAAAGAACTGTAGAATAAGACATCTCTGAAAAGAAATGCTATTGCCAGAGATATTTTTGGTTGTTTCCCAAAATGTTTGAATGGCAAATATAATGAGTTAAATCAATTAAATGGTGATTTGGGAGAGGACACATTCCCACAAGGCAGAAAGATATTTTTTAAAGAGCACTATTTGCTTCGAAAGAAAAATATTGGTTAGGTATTTGCAACTCCTAATATTCAAATAGTTTAAAATTTAATTTCAATAGAATGGCATTTAATGTTCTAGAATCACATTTTCAAAAGAACAACATTTAAAACAGTCTGTATCAAAGAAAGAAATAATTTCATTTGAGTTCATAAAGGTAAGTATAAACTTTTTCATAAAAGGCCTTATTTGCATTTTAGTTTGCTTTTCTGAGCTATTGTATCTTCAGTATCAAAAATCAGAACGTCTAAATATTTATAGAATACTAAGGGAATAATCTAATGAAGTTAAGTTAAAACTGTATTTCACACCACATCTATACTTTTTCTTTCTTTTTTCCCTTTGAGGAGATCAGAGAGACAAATGATAAAAGCACTTAAAATGTCCTACTTTGAAAGGTAGCATTATTCATAATGTAACAAAACTGGTTTAATAATTGGGGCAGTTTTTAAAGAAAATTATTCTAATACAGTAATTCTTAGTAAGAATTCTAATATAGCAAAACTTAGTAAGGTGGTAGCTGGATATTTTAAAAATAAGTCTGTACCCTGCCATCAATGAAATAAATCATTATTTCTAAAGAAACACTGTCTTGAAATCTGAAAGTTTAGGTCATTAAAATTTTTTTGAGGGGTACCTGGGTGGCTCAGTCAGTTAAGCATCTGCCATTGGCTCAGGTCATGATCCCGGAGTCCTGAGATTGAGTGGGGAGTCTGCTTCTCCCTTTCCCTCTGAATCCCACCCCATTCATGTTCTCTCTCTTTCTCAAATAAACAAATAAAATTTAAAAATATGTTGATATTAGATTTTTTTTTTCCTGATGAAAGAAATACTACAGACCAGAACTGCAAATGTAACTGCCTGTCTTTGTCCTTATCCAAGGGGATTTAGAGTTCTGAGGTCATGAGCTAGATAAAACAGAAACTTTCCTGTGTCCCTGAGGAAAAAAAAAGTCTGATTGCAATGAAATTGCATCTATTAAATGGACAAAAGAATCAAGTCTCTGTTTACCTTTCAGCTTGAAGGACTTTTGAGAAAGACTGGACGCAGTGTTAATTTCAGAGTAGTAACATGACCTTCTTGGTCTCTAGGCATAATGAAGGAACACATACATGCAATCAAACAATGCTTGTAATATAATCTCCTCTCCAATTCTAGGTGTGAATTTAGTGTATTAAAAATATTGGAAACCATATATTACTAATCATTAAGGTAAATATTAGTTATGAAAGTGCTTAGAAGAAACCTCAGGTTGTGACTTTTCCATCCCCTGCTTCCTCCTCCCTTCCTTCCCCTCTGCCTTTTTTTCTCCCTTCCTTCCTGTTGCTTGAAATTCTGGTTCCTGATTCATTTATTCCTTAAGAGTCATTTGAGAAAATAAAAGGTGTACAGCTTTATGGAAGATATGGGTAAAACCATCTTTGAATTGCAAAACATTATAATTTCGCTGGAAAACTTTGGAAATTAGACAAAATCATGAAAGGTATAAAATCAGTCATATATATGTATATTATATATGAAATCATGTAAGTAAAACCTGCCAAACAGAATCTGAAATATATAATGGAATCAGAATAGGGTTTACATTCTGAGACCGCTGGATATCTGCACTGATTCTTTATAACTCAGTTGTCTTCAATCTACTTCAATTTAATTTCAGTTAAAAACTTGAAGATTCTGGTGCCTGGGTAGCTCAATGGGTTAAGGCCTCTGCCTTCGGTGTAGGTCATGATCTCAGGGCCCTGGGATCAAGCCCTGCATCAGACTCTCTGCTCAGCAGGCAGCCTGCTTCCTCCTCTCTCTCTGCCTGCCTCTCTGCCTACATGTGATCTCTGTCTGTCAAACAAATAAATAAAATATTTTAAAAATTGAAGATTCATTTATAAACCCTGCACTATATCTGATCAATACATAATATCTTTCAATATTTTAGTGAATCTGCTTATGAGTGGCATTATTGGAATAAGCTGAAAATCAACAAATTCATAGAAAAAATGCTACCTAATGTTATATTAAGGAAAGCTTTTATGATATAATATTTAGGGAGGGAATTAGAATCTGTGGAGACACGGATGATTCTGATTCCTACATTTCAACAGTCTTTATTGTATAACTCCATGTTTATAATGTATGTGAAATTAAAAAAATATTCATCATTACTTCTTATTTAGAACTTGCATCAAACCCCATTTGAGCAAATTAGTGACTTCGTAAGTTATAGACTATTTTCCAATATATTTTCCAGTTATTTGTTAATTCTGCTTTGTTCTCTTTTTCCAAAGTGTTCACTGGTTAGAATACTAGAGAAGACTAAAGACAGGACTACTGTGTGACGGGGGAGAGAGAGATGAATACAAACACAGTATGAGAATAGCATATCCCACACCCACCACTGGTAGAGTGTATAGTGCTTGCCAGTTAGTAACAGGAGCTGTTATACGTTTATGAATCAAACACATGTTGAGTGGTTTATGTACATTAAGTACCCAGGAAGGATATTTTATGGTCTCCTGGTTTTACATGTTGTAATAAAAGTAATTTGGACTTTACTTGCACACAAGCCTGAATTCAAACCTCAATAATGCCATTTATTTACTGTGATCTTGGTTGGTTCATAGAACATCTAAAGTTGAAGTTACCTTACAAGTGAAATGGTGATAGAATTACCTCCCAGCACGATTGTGAGGATCGAGTAAGACAGTCCTGTGAATGCACCTACCACAGCATTGAATCCCTGCTCCAGGAGTTACCTGCTTACATGCAGTCCCCAGATACTAGAATATGTGCATAGCCTTTGCTCAGTACCATAGGAATGATACCATCATTCCAGAACTTTCCATTATTTGAGTACTAGGTGAATTAAACTCTTACAGAATTCAACAAGGTTCTCTTGGTACAATAGAGCTTGGGAAGGAGTTGGATTATCTAGGAGAACCTGTTAAAGGAACTGGGACCTCTGCATAATTTATAGAATACTTTATGAAATAGGAAGTAGGCAAAATGAACATAGGATCAGAGTAGGAAGGGCAACCTTCTGCTTGGACCCTTTTAAAAAGAAAACCCTTTCAGATTTTTCTCCCTTTGACTTAAGTCTTGAATGAAAAACATGACTATTCACCTCAGAAATTAACATTTAAATGCAGTATTTGTAATTTGGTAAATATCTTTTTACCTATTGATAGCCACTTTTGAATGACTTCTTCCAGTTGAAATAAACTGGCTATAATAACTAATATAAAACAAAAAAAATCACAGAGATCACCCAGGAAATTACTTTCTTCAGCTCATTTCTTAAAATATAATGATATGATGTCACAAAAAATATTTGAGACAGCTTAAATCCAAATGTGAATAAATAGAAATATTTTAAAAGAATTAACATGAGAGAGAGGAACTGATGGACAAGGTCATTCTAAGCAAAATTGTCAAATGGCTTGCTATAAATATTATTATTTTTATTAATGTAATTCCAATTAGACTTTGATATTCCTATCATCAAAGCTGAAAGCAAAATACAGCATTACTCATTATCAATAACAAGAAAATATACCATTTTTCAGCAGATCTAATCCCTGACAAGGATGTTTTCTGGTGGATAATAGTGAAAGAATGAACATTTTTTTTAAAATCATGGTTTAACATCAAATGCAAATGTTTCCCTAGGAGACATTGCTAGGGACTTGTCCATTTTTTAAAGTGCAGTGCTCTTATTTTATAGTTAAGCAAGCTACAACTCGGGCAGATAAAGTGACTTCACATCTCGAATTCTTTATTTTCACAGATGATACCCAGAGACCAGATGGGAGGAGGAAATTTATCTTCAGTTGTGGCGTTTGTCCTCCTAGGGTTTTCTGAACTTCCAAACTTCCAGGGACTTCTATTGGGAATTTTCTTTCTCATCTACATATTCATCTTAACAGGAAATGGTCTTATCATACTAATTACGAGGGTGGACTCTGTTCTCCAAACACCCATGTATTTCTTTCTTGCAAATTTTTCCTCCTTGGAAATCTGTTATGTGTCCGTCACTCTCCCCAGGATTCTGGTGAACCTTTGGACTCAGGATAGAAGCATTTCTATGCTGGACTGTGCCACTCAGATGTGCTTCTTCCTTATGCTCGGCGCCACTGAATGTTTCCTGCTGGCAGTGATGGCCTATGACCGCTATGTGGCCATTTGTAACCCTCTGCACTACCCTCTAGTCATGAACCACGAGTTGTGCCTCCAGCTGGCTGTCAGCTCCTGGATCGGTGGAATTCCAGTCCAGATAGGGCAAACATGTCAGGTGTTCTCCCTGCCTTTTTGTGGTTCTAATCAAATCAATCACTTCTTCTGTGACATCCCCCCGTTGATCAAGCTGGCCTGTGGGGACACTTCATTTAATGAGATGTGTGTCTATGTAGTCGCTATATTATTTGCCACGATTCCTTTTCTACTTATACTTGGCTCTTATGTGAAAATCATTTCCACCATCCTGAAGTTTCCCTCAGCCAGAGGCCGGTCTAAAGCCTTCTCCACCTGTTCTTCCCATCTCATTGTGGTGCTTTTGTTCTTTGGGTCGGCTTCCATCACCTACTTAAGGCCCAAATCCAGTCATTCTGCAGGAACTGACAAACTGCTCTCTCTTTTCTACACCATAGTGACTCCGATGTTTAACCCCATGATATACAGCCTTAGGAACAAGGATGTGATTGCAGCACTGAAAAGACTATTACTCAAGAAAAAAGTGTGAGCATCTTACAGATCACATTTTTTTATTTATTTATTTGACAGACAGAAATCACAAGTAGGCAGAGAGGCAGGCAGAGAGAGAGGGGGAAGCAGATGCCCCGCTAAGCAGAGAGCCCGATGTGGGGCTCGATCCAGGACCCTGGGATCATGACCCGAGCCAAAGGCAGAGGCTTTAACCCACTGAGCCACCCAGGTGCCCCACAGAGCACATTTTTAATAAATTTTTCTCATGCTTATCACAGAAATATAATTTAATGTTTCTCTATTCATGCTTACGATGGCAATGTTGTTCAGAATTACTATGTAATCCTTTGCAATTATGTATTTGAGAGTTCTGGCCTGAAGCCACTTGTGGCTTTTTCTTTAACAAGACAATTAGAATTTTTAGATAATTTCAACTGTTAGAATTGTTTTTAAAAATGTGTGGAAGAAATAGGGCTGGCCTTTCCTATTTGTCAAATATTTACAAATATCATGCTGGAATTCCCACCTGTATCTATGACCCATTCATTTCTTTGTGACAGGTTTACACTAGATATGTGTTGAGGGAGTGAACACAAGACAAATTATAAATCATATTTTAAATATTTTAAATTGTAAACAGAAATTAGAAACAAAATGAAAATCTTTAATTATGTCCACTTTCTCAGTATGAGTTAAGAAAATGTTTCCATGTGTGTCCAGAGAAAGTCAAACATCTGACTTGGTCCTATCATTTTGTTTTAAATATTTTTCATGGGTGGGTGGGAGGACAGGGTAACTGTGTGATGGGCATTAAGGAGGATACTTGATGCAAGGAGCAATGGGTGTTTCATGCAACTGATGAATCGCTAAACTCTACCTCTGAAACTAGTAATGCACTATATGTTAATTAATTGACCAAAATAAAATAAAATAAAATAATTTCATCATTGTGCTTTATACCTGTTTCTAAAATGTATTTTTTTTTAAGATTTTATTTGACAGACAGAGATCACAAGTAGGCAGAGAGGCAGGCAGAGTGAGAGGGAAGCAGGCTCCCTGCTGAGCAGAGAGCCCAATGCAGGGCTTGATTCCAGGACACTGGGATCATGACCTGAGCCGAAGGCAGAGGCTTTAACCCACTGAGCCACCCAGGTGCCCCCTGAAATGTTTTTCTAACTTCTCAGAATTCTTTGCCATAGCTTGCTTGATTTATCAAAGTTGCAGTGTAAAATAAATCTATGACTTTGTTTTTAAAGTGAGCCACCCAGACACCCCAGTCTATGACCTTTTTCACACTTAATTTAAAAAACCCATTTGAAACTATAAAGGCGAGAAAACAAGAAACAAATTTCATACACAATTACTTTATATCACAAATAGTAATATGTACATATTGAAGATGCCTAACATGTCTTCCTACAAGTTATATTTAAATTAGTGTAACAGTGACTAATCTTTCCCATTTTATCCTTGTCTCATTTCTATAAAATAAAGTTCTTTGTGCTGGAAAGTACAGGTAAAATCAAGAACTAATCAATCATAAGTATCTTAAGGGTAAGAAGATTTAGGGGATTTATCAACATTGTACTTAACACCCACTTCTCTGTTTTGAATGTGCAACTCGGAGGATACTCAGTCTTTATTTCTAAACATTCTTGTTGATACTGAGGACTGTTTCATTTATCCAACAATTATGCCACTTTATAAGTTTTGTTATCCTTGTAGATACTTGTTCCTTCAGATTAGGTCCTTTTTATAAGGACTTGCATTTTAAATGCAACATTCAATGTAAAAGTTTGAATTTTCATTTTTATGGACTTGCGTTTTAAACTTCCACCGTTAACATGATGCTATGATTCCCATAACTTTCTCACCTCTTTTTATTACAGGCAAATATTTTATTTTATTTTTTTAAGATTTATTTATTTATTTATTTGACAGAGAGAGATCACAAGTAGGCAGAGAGGCAGGCAGAGAGAGAGAGGAGGAACAGGCTCCCTGCTGAGCAGAGAGCCTGATGCGGGACTCGATCTCAGGACCCTGAGATCATGACTTAAGCTGAAAGCAGAGGCTTAACCCACTGAGCCACCCAGGCAACCCACAGGCAAATATTTTAATAACAATATTTACTTTTATCAAATCATAAAACTGTATTACATAGAAATGTTTGATCTGGTAGTAGTATAAATTGGGTTTAATATTGATTGGTATTAGTGCACCAATAGTTTATAAAACTATGTTTCCAGTGAAAGGTACTTTTTTTCTTTAACGATTTCTTGTAGAGTCATTGCAAGTTATATATATTTATTTATTTTAATGTTCATTGTCAAGCCAGTTCTTAAAGCAAAAGCAACTCTCAAAAGCAACTCTGTGGAAATGAATGATATGGTTTCCCATAAGTGAAACAAGAAAGTCTATATTACAACTAAGTTCATTACGTTGAATCTTGTCAAAAGTTCTTACTGAGAGGAAAATAAAACACAAGAAAACTATGAAATTACCAATGGATTGTCTTGTTATTTGATAAAATGTGCACAAATGTATGATTTGACACATTAGAACATTACAAGTAATTTTTTAAAAAGATTTTATTTGTTTGACAGACAGAGATCACAAGGAGGCAGAGAGGCAGGCAGAGAGAGAGGGGGAAGTGGGCTCCCCATGGAGCAGAGAGCCCGATGTGGGGCTCTATCCCAGGACTCTGGGATCACGACCTGAGCCGAAGGCAGAGGCTTAACCCACTGAGCCACCCAGGTGCCCCATAAGTAATTTTTAATTTAGAAAAAAGTTACCTTTGTATAGACAGATAATTAGAAATTAATATAAATATCTGTTGAAATTTCAACACCAATACATAAGGAATCAATTCCTGCAAGTATCACACTTTTAATGAAGTGAATTATTTACATAGCAATCTTCTCAATGCCTTTATGACTTCCTTGTTCCTTAGACTGTATATGAGGGGATTAAAGATGGGAGTCACAATAGTGTAGAAAAGAGAAAGCACTTTGTCAGTCCCTGCTGAGTGACTGGTCTTGGGTCTTAAGTAGGTAATA